TTTCAATCCCTCAATTGCGTGTACTATCCCCATCACCACTGACCCCAGCACCACTATACTAGACACTTGTATTTTATTACACGGATGAAAGCAAATTTTTTTAAATCTGTGAAATATTGGATTTTCGCAAAGAAACGCCAGGTTCTACTCATTATCGATTCTGTTTTATTTTGCAGAAATCAGTTTGCGCATGACAATTTTCTGAAGTCAATCGAGCAAATATCGTGTTCCTCGCTGTCTTTAATAAAATATCAGACATCCGTAGCGGAAGCAAGTTTGTTTTAACCGCTACAGATCGCCTTGTCATAACATTTCTTACAATCTTATAATTTGTCTTACGAACTTAAACCTGTATAGATAGGACTCAATGTTTATTAAAACTTTTGACCGCTTATAACGTTTAAGTTGACCGTTGAAAGATAAAAAAAATAAACTCATTTACCTAGGAAATAAAAATATGTAGGACTCACTTTTCTGCCTACTGCCACCACCCTGTTAACTACTTTTGCTGCCATATAGCAGTGCGTGTACTGCTGGGTTACGGTCTGAAGGGAATAGAGAATCAGTATAAGTACAGACAGTGAGCCATTCCATTCTTAGTCCTCAGAGTTGATAACGCATTTCTGTAGCCTTTTTATTTGAAGTGGGAAAGAGGTGACTACGGATTAGTATATAACTTTAGTTTTATAAAGAAAGAGATTAGCTCTCCTACAGTGATAGGAGTGATTCCAAAGCAGTAGCTTAAATGATCCCTTCCTGACAGTAGTATGAATAATGTTCGGTAAATCATGTCAAAGTTTAACGGACGACATTAAATTGAAGTCCGCCGACACGTACTGAAGCAGCGCGGTGAATTAATAGCTCCATAAATCTCTACGAAATTATAGGAGGTTTTTGCGAGCGAGAAATGTATAAAGACTGTTAATTTAATTTTGTAAGTTATAATTGTATTTATGTACATATGAGTATGTATGTATAAGCCGCTGTTACGATAACTGGGGAGCTAACGGTAATTATTTCGCAAACTATGTCTCAAAGTAAAGTTATAGGAAAGAAGTTGCTAAAACAATATGCTATGTTGTTGCGATATAAGTATATACACTACCTCATATCACCCGTGTGTGTCGTAAGAGGCGACACAGGGAACCAAATCAGGCGATGGGCAGTAGCATCTTCCTAATAACGACTAAAAATAAAATTACGTGGTTGCAAAGCCGCTTGCCAAGCGTGGCAACTATGGCAAATATGTGTGCCCTGTGAGTCAATCTATGGGACAGACATAATATGTTCAAAATTGGATTATGTTAGGCTGCAACGGTATCATATAGATCATAATTTTTTTTTAATTTTTATAGAATAAGGGTGACAAACGAGTACACAGTCCACCTGATGGTAAGTGGAAGCTATGAACTAGAGACATCTACATTTATATTCGATTAGGAATTCAAATGATGTCACCCCTCAGGACTAAGATGGAATCTCGTCTCGTTTCCAGTAAAAAGGGTTTCTGTATCATTATACTCTCCGTACGAAACACAACAGCCTTAAGCTGGTATTCCCTGAGAAAGTTGTTCTAACCCGGTCGAACCAACATATTCATGCTACAACTAATATAGCTGCAGCGTGGCTCCACCAAGTAAAATGAGAGTATAACTTACTTATCTGGTTAATTGAGCGACGTAAGTTTGTTCATACATTTGCGATACAATTATAGTACTCTTACACTAAAAATTGCCTCTTCTTGTCTTGTTAACTAAACCCCAGATAAAAAAATATTTGTTTTAAACGTAAATTAATAGTCTCATTGGTTGCGCTGCAGTGTGAACGCAGCGTAACGCAATCTGTCACCCGTTTCGTCGCGTTTGTGTCGTAAGAGGCGACTACAGGAAATGCCGAAACATCGTAAGCTTCCGGTAGATTTTATTTTTTCTTTGAAAAAGGGAGCAAACGAGCATGCGGCTCAGCTGATGGTAAGTGTCGACCGCCGTCCATGAGCAACTGTAACACCAGGGGAATTGCAGATGGTGCAAGACGGGAATTACCTAAATTAGCGACATGCAGCATCATTAATGCTGTGCCTTTTTTAATAGAATAACAGTGACTAACGAGTACACTGCACCTAATAGTAAGTGGATGGTGGCTACGGCCCATAGATAGCGACATTTATTTTTGATTAAAAGTTTATTTATTTCTTCTTTATTGCATTCGCTATCACAAAAAATACAAAGAGCAGAACTAATGCTATGAGGTCTGGTCACTATCGAACATTTAACCCATCGAGCGGTGAGAATGTGACGTAGCTGTAGCTATATAAAATAAAATAAATAAATAAATATAATCAAAATTCACAAGCGTTGTCAGCCCTGTGACCTAAAACGGAAAGCCTAGTTTCCAGTAAAATGGGCCTCCGGTTCTCTTCACTCACCATAAGAAACACAGCAGCATTATTAATCATAATATATTAATAAATTTATTAATAAGGTTATAATTATTTATTTAACTTCATATACACAGATGTCTATAGGCGGACTTATGCCTGAGGCATTATCTACCAGTCTACCTTAGAGTAGTGCAGAGATAAAAGAGGTAGGTGTAATAAGAAGTATGTACAATATATATAAACTCATATATATACAAGCGTATAAATATATGCATATATAAACATAATGTAAGTATATTTACATAAAATTAAATACATATATATATATATATATATATATATATATATATATATATATATATATATATATATATATATATATTAAATATTAAACACAGCTAACTACGAACGTTAAGTTGATTCTGCCATTTTATTGACATATTTTTTATTACTCATTTATATCTAGCTATTATTTTTAGGAAGATTCGCTTTGCAAACTGGAATATTGGCACGCTTACGGGACGCTCCACAGAACTTGCGACCATACTTGCCAGGCGTAAAGTGGCAGTGGCGTTCCTGCAGAAGACACGGTGGAAGGCCAACAGGAGCCGGAATATTGGACACGGCTACAAGCGGATCTATACAGGCTATTCTGGTGGGGAGAACGGTGTGGCAGTGGTGCTCGCCGAGCATTTCCACGATAGCGTCTTGGAAGTTAGACGCATATGCGACCGACTTATGGTAGTAAGGTTGCTTGTTGAGGGGGTCGTGACCCACTTAATAAGTGGCTACGCCCCACAGGTCGGCTGCAGCGACGCGGATAAGACGCTGTTTTGGGATCGGCTCGGCTCGTAGATGTACTATGCGGCATACCGTTGTCCCACGATGTCGTTTTGGATGGCGACCTGAACGGTCATGAGGGCGAGGTGCAGGGGGAGTATGAACGTGTCCACGGCGGCTATGGTTATGGCCGTAAAAACGCAGAGGGGGAAACCATTCTCTGACCTGGCCGTGGTGAACACGTTCTTCAAAAAGAAAACCGAGCACCTGATTACCTACAGGAGCGGTCGGAACGCCACTTAAATCGACTATCTACTGACCAGAAGAAGTCATATCAGTCGTGGCTTAAGGTCATACCCGGTGAGTGTCTCACTGTCCAACACCGACTTCTTGTAATGGACCTCTGCGTAAAAACCCGTCGCAGACACGCCGAACGTTGCCGCCGTCAAATCAAGTATCACAGATACTCAGATTTTGACTCTGCCGCTGGGGATATTAACCTCGACACAGCAGGCAAGTCCGTCCAAGAGTGCTGGAAAACCATTCAGACAGCAATCACAAAGACGGCAAAGCAAGTACTCGGCGTGGTGAAAAGGGGTCGCAAAATCGACAAGGAGACTTGGTGGTGGGACGCCACAGTCCAGGGTTCATTACGGGAGAAGAAAGCGCTGTTCAAGATGTGGCAAGCGACCAAATCTCCTGAAGATCACGCATCTTACAAGACAGCGAAAAGAGCTGCCAAGAAAGCTGTAGCCAGAGCCAGGCGTGTCCACTTGCAACCATTATATACTAAGTTGGACACTCCTGAAGGGCACAAGCTCATATATAAACTGACGCGCTCTAGGGCCAAAGCAGCGCAAGATATTACTCGCTGCTGCAGCGTCAACGGCCCTAATGGCAAGCTCCTGTACGATGATCGTGCGGTGAAGGAGAGATGGCGCTCTTATTTCCACGTTTTGCTGAATACTCAGCACCGGGAAGTGCACACTCCCGAACAACTCCTGAACTATGGACTCGTGCCACCGATTACGCCTGACGAGGTCCTCACATCTCTTCGTCACCATGGAGAATCGGAAAGCTGTCAGACCGGACGAGGTGCCAATTGAAGCGTGGAAAGCGCTGGGGGCTCGTGGTGTGTGCATTATTACTAACCTTTATAATAGAATCCTGAATAATGCCCGATCATTGGCGGCTTAGTATAATAACGCCGGTCCACAAGGGTAAAGGGTCCGTTCAGGATTGCGGTAATTACCGCGGTATAAAGGTGACGTCACACACCATGAAGCTCTTTGAGCACATTATTGACACCAGGATCCGACAGGAGTGTACAGTATCGGACTCCCAGTACGGCTTCCAACCAGGACGCGGTACCATGGACCCTATATTCGCCCTAAGGATCCTCATGGAGAAGCACAGGGAAAAGAATATGCCTCTGCATTTTTTATTCCTAGACCTGCAGAAGGCCTTTGACTGTATTCCTAGGGAAATGATCTGGTGGGCGTTGCGGTCGAAGTTGGTACCAGAGACCTACGTGGAAATCGTACGTGACATGTACCGCAACTCCGATTCAACATTCAGGACCGCTGTTGGTGATACCACCCCCTTCCCCATAACCGTAGGCGTGCATCAGGGCTCTGTCTTAAGCCCCTATCTATTCAGTGTGATATTAGACGAACTGTCAGCCAGCGTACAAAAACTACCGCGGCCTTGGCTGCTTATGTACGCTGATGATATCGCACTGGTAGGTGGAGACAAAGGGCGGCTCACCAGACGCGTGAACGCATGGAGGGAGGTGCTTGAGAACGGCGGGCTGAAGCTAAACGTGGCGAAGACGGAGTATATGGCCTGCAACAGCACAGATCTGACGTCTCTCCGTATAGGCGACGACACCGTTGAGCGCACGGACAACTTCAGGTACCTCGGATCTGTGCTTGATGCGTCCGGGGACAACGATCGCGACATCGAGGCCCGTATATCAGCGGCCTGGGCGAAATGGCGCGAGGTGACGGGTATCATTTGTGACCCCAAAATGCCGGTCAAGCTCAAGGGACAGGTCTATAAGACCATCATAAGGCCTGTCCTTAAGTACGGCAGTGAGGCGTGGCCGGTGCTGGAGCGACACCGGCAGTTGTTGCATGTCACGGAGATGAACATGGTGCTGTGGATGTGTGGCATCACGCGGGAAGACCGTGTACATACGGTTGATATTGCTGACAAGCTGCAGGAAAGTCGCCTCCGCTGGTACGGCCAAGTCTTACGACGACCGGCAAGCTACGTGAGAAACAAATGCCTGGACATGACCCTACCTGGTACCAGGAGTAGAGGACGGCCCAAGTAACGATGGCTTGATGTCATGCAGGATGATATGCGCGCCAATGGGCTAGTTACGAGGGACGCCGAAGACGGGGCAAAGTGGAGGAGGAAGTGTAGGAAAGCGGACCCTGGGGTCTACCGCGTTGGGCGCGATGAGCAAATGGGATAAACGCTAGGTAGAAGAAGAAGAAGATATTTAGGAAGGGCTCTAATTAAGCTTCTACTTCACGCTGGTATTTTGTGCGATCTTCAGTCTGCCTGCCAAGTGATAATTAAGGCTATCCTTCCAAAAGAAGGGACAGATATTAACCATAGATATAATATTTCTATGGTACGAGTATTAACTCTTAATATCATAAAATTATTTTAGCTTTTAAAATAAATTTAATAAATCTGCACAGATCATGCCAAAAATTAATAATTTAATATAAAGGTCCGTTAAAGGTCGTGGCCCGGATTTAAAAACAATTGCAGCGAAATAAAAAATATTTTCAGTCACAATTTCTTTCCTCCGCAAAGTCAAACATGTTCTAAAAACACAATTTTCTTTCCCTGTAATATAGCAACCTTTACCTACTAAAACGAGCTTCTGTAATTAAGACCGCGCTATAAATTCCGCCTCAAGGAAGCTAATTACCTTACCTTTGACTTTTTTTCATTATAACTAAAAAGGTATATATATATATATATATAGTATATATATATATATATATATATATATATATATATATATATATATATATATTTTTTGTATATATTAATATATATATATATATATATATATATATATATATGTGTTTAATTAAGGTCCCGCTGGGTTTCTTACTGATTTCCAGGACAGAACTTTTTTCCCAACCAATGGTAAATAAAAAATGACTTTCAATAAGTATTATACAATAATCTATAATGAATAAAATAATTCATTTCATTTCATTTATAACATAGTATTGCAAAGCTGTAACAGCAGCTCAAACAGCAACAAGCTGAAGTAGAACTTCTTTATCGACGTAATGGCGACATTTAGCTGGTAGATGCTATAGAAAATGCAAAGGGATGCAACATCCCTACGAAGCGCCAGTGAATCAAACCGATCAGAAAGAACTCGGTCGTCGACAATTCAAACCGCTCTGCTCTGAATGCGATCAAGTGGAAGGAGCTGGCCTCGGGTGCCCAGGCCCAGAAATTCCTCCTTATACAATAGATGCCGGATGTAACTGCCTCATATATGGCGGAGGAGGGGAGGAGAGGATAGCAGTCGATGTCTGCTGTTCTACTATGTCAGAGGAGTTACAGACAAGGTTGGCTACATCTTGAAGCGAGCTTCTATTTAAACATACTACAAGCCACCGGAGAAGATTCGTCAATTTTTATCATCCATCAAGTGTAATAATATCCCTTTACACCCGCGGGTTATTTTTAATGCATATACGCAATGCTTTTTATTTATAACTGCATATTTATATCATTTAAAACATGAAACGAGTATTTGCTATGTAATTTAATTTCTGCATATGCATTTTAACTATTTACTTTTTTATTTTTCAGTTAACGTCAAACATCGTTAGTATCTAATAACGCTTCTTACATGTAATTTAACGCATTTATCTTTTAGTATGATGTGTTGATCCTTCTGTAAAAGAAAAGTTAATCTCTATTGGAGGCACACAATCTCATAACTAGTATTTATAATTTTATCAATGATAATAACAACATAAACACTCAAGCCTGTCACCCAGAGGGGTAGGCAGAGACTACAGACTTCCATTTAGCATGATCCTGACATACCTCTCTCGCCTCTTCCACATCCATATACCTACGCATACGTACTCGTCGGTTAAGGGTACTCTTAATTTGGCCCATTTTTAGTATATCGCCAATTTGGTCGACAAACTTCCGCCTAGGACGTCCCTTTCCGACTCTACCATTCACTTCTGCAACATATGTTTGCTTTGTCAGTCTTTCCGCATTTATTCTTTCTACATGACCAAACCACCGAAGCATTCCTTTCTTAATCCTGGTCACTGCATCATCTTGCAAACCACACTCTTCTTTTATCACACAGTTTCTCACCCTGCCACTCAGATTCATCCCTAACATACTCCTTAGCGACCGCATTTCTACAGCATTTATTCTACTCTCGTGCTTCTTTTGCCACACCCAACTTTCACTACCATATGTTAAAGTAGGGACTAATACAGCACTGTGAATTGCCATACGTGCCTTTTTTGACACATTCTGACTTTTCACAATAGAGTGTAGAGCCCCATTTACTTTATTTCCTGCATTCACTCGTCGTTCAATATCCTTATCATATAGAAAGAAAGAAAGAAATGCATTTTATTCCAGTTTAAGCATGCAGCATAACAAGTAAAAAGTAGTTAAATTCCAAAAGATAAATATAACTAAATTAAAAGCAATTTAATATTATTATAAATTTCAGAAAACCTTTTAAAAATACCCTGCGCTACAGCATGAAACCGTGAAACGGACCGGACTCAGTGATAGCACTAGTTTTCAGTCCAGCCCTTACCCAGAGGCAGCTCGGGCGGCTGAGTGCACGCTCGCTCTTGATGTCCGAAAATTCCTAATATATAATATACATATACATATGCATACCCATATTCATATATAATTGGACTGAAAGTAGAATTTGCCGTTTTTTTTTCCAAAAAAGGATACGTATGGAAGCAATATCTACAGTTTTGTATTAGTAAAAAAATAAAATAATAACTAAGGTAAATACACACAACTCGTATAAGGATTTTTAAATTATTTTAAAAGAAAGAAAAGAAAAAAAACGAAACAAATAGGCTACCCACATTATATGCTTAGTTTCATTGTTGGTATATTTAAATTTTTTAAATACAGCATTTAGTATAATTTAAAGTGCCAAACCGCTCGGTGTCTATGTGTATACAGTTACAGTTACATTACTGGTAAATCCATGCATCGTTAATTTAATAAAAAATTACTAAAATAAAGAATTATCATAAGTTATTATACCTAGATTCTACGCCTTAACGGACATCTTTTTGTTCATTAAGTAGTAATAATTTATATTTGTTTTTAAAATTATTTATTGTTGTAAGGCTACGTAAGGGGGGTGGCAGATTGATCCAACACTTTGTTGCATTGTATTTAAAACTACCTCTAAATGCAGTTGAGCGGCTAAAATGATATACTTACAATTTTTTGTTCAAGTGATCTGAGATAATGTGTACTATTGTGATCTTTGGCCCAATCCAGATTATTGTACAGATTTAATGGTTCTTTGTTTTTTACAATACCGAACAAAAGAGTGGCAAAGTGTAGTCGTCTCCGAAGGTCCATTTTTAATATATTGGCTTTGTTATAAAACGGTGTTACATGTGTACGTTGTGATAAGTTACAGCAAAACGCGCGCAGGCGTTTTGCACCCGTTGTATAATTTGTTTGATACGAGCTAGAAGTCGCGGTCCTATAAGAGAATCACCATAGTTGAATTTTGATAAAACAAGAGACTCGAATAATTTAACACGCAGAGTCAGGTTTAGGTAATTGCGAATTCGATAAAGTACTTTTAGCCTAAAAAAGCAATTACGTACAATGTCAAAAATGTGCTTCTCAAATCGCAGTTGCTCGTCCATCACTACACCAAGATTTCTCGCTTCACGGATTTGTATCCTTATTTATGACAACAGCGGGTCATTTGATATAATCTTCCGTAGCTGTGTTGGGGTTCCCAGTTTTTTTCACTTTCATTCCCCTTTCTTTTAATGACCTGTTCATTAATGTAACCATCATTTGCAACTCAGCCGCCGACGACGCAAGTATGACCTGATCATCGGCGTACAAAAGGCATTTGAAGGTTAAATCACCCATTCTTAACCCGCATTCTTCAACTTTCAAATTTTCCAAACAAATGTCCATAAATAGGTTGAACAGCCACGGGGAAGCTACACAGCCCTGTCTGACACCTTTATGGATGTCAACCAGTCCGAGTAGACCCCGTTGATTCTAGCACAAGCACTCGAGTCCCTATACAGAGACGCCTTTTTAACGCCTGTATTAAACCAGCGCTCAACCTAAATGCGTTCAGCGTTTGCCATAACACATCCTTGTCCACTCTTCATTAGCCTTTTCCAAGTCCATGAACGCACAAAAAACTTTTTGATTTTTTCGCCGAAAACTTCTCCTCGATCATGCGCATGGAAAAGACTTGATCTGTACACCCCATTCCCTTTCTAAATCCCGCTTGCACATCCCAAAACTTTTTCATCAGTTTCTTTCATAACTCTTTCAATTATTATCTTAGCATACAGTTTTCCCACAGTGCTAAGAAGGTTGATACCACGGTAGTTTTTACAGTCCTGTTGTGACACTTTTCCCTTACATATTGGGACTATCACGGCTTTGCACCGGTCTCCCGGTACCCGCTTTAGTTCCCAACATGAATTAAACAAGGTGTACAGCAGGCCTGCCACCACGTCCTCTCCAGCCCTTAGCATTTCGAGTGCAACTCTATCATATCCGGCTGCCTTACCTACTTTCATGCTTTTCATTGCTTTCATTATTTCATCTATACTTATCTCCCTATCTCTTTCATCTTCTTTCGCAATTTCTATTTCATTTAGTTCGCACGTCTCCTCACTCATAAATACGCTTTCAAAATATTCCTTCCATCTCTTTAGAGTCAACATTTCATCATTCAGAATACATCCATTCTCGTCTCTTATCGCATTCAATCTAGGCTGTTTTGAATGTCCCCTGGTATTTCTTACGAGTTTTTTAAGTTTTTGGGGTCCAGAACATTTTAATATTTGCCTGGAAGTTATCCGATATTCTTCTATCATTCTTATCCGTTCTTTCTTGCTTTTTCCTTTCAACTAATTCTTTTACTCTCTTATTTATACTTTTAAATTCTGCCTTTTTTCTTTCAATCTCATCATTCTTACCGCCAGAATTACCAGCGTTGGTCGCTAGTAAATCTAGCCATGCTCTCTTCTTTGCTTCAACATCCATACGAACCTCATCATCCCACCATAATGTATTGTTTTTCCTTTCATTCGTTCTCTTACTAACACCACATACTTCGGTAGCTGCATCCACTAAACCTTTCTTAACATTATGCCACACATTCTCCAAGTCTTACTCATTCACACACAACTCATCCAAATCACTTATATTTTCTCTCAGTCTACATTTGTAGTTGTCTTTCACATCTTCATCTTGTAACCTCTCAATTCTTATACGCTGTAACGCAATTGTAGACACAGATGTCAGATGCCGCCAACATCTGAATAAACCCCTAATTCGGCATAAGACCAGGTAGTGGTCCGTCCCTACGTTGGACCTCTTCTATCATCACCTCTTTCCGAAGTATACATGTGAATCTTCTTATGATGAAAGAAAGTGTTCGTCACAAAAAGATTCCTTTCCACAGTGAGGAGGCTTTCACCATTCTCATTAATACTTTCATCACCAAACGTTCTCAATATCCTTTCATAGCCAAGCCTCCTCACCCCAACCCTTCCGTTAAAATCTCCTAACATAACAATATTTTCATTTTCCTTGCATTTCTTTAACACCATCCTTACCATCTCCCAAAACTGCTCTCGGATGTAAGTGGGCTTAGACATGTCTGGGGCGTAGACCCCTAGAGCAAACAACTTTTTTTAGGCCCACTTTTATTCGTATCCGTAACAGTCTCGGGCTTACACATTCATACTCTTTCACACATTGACCCATTCTTTCTGAAAAGATGATACCGACTCCCTGGCATTCTCGCTCGGTCTCGTCTACACCGGACCAGTACGCGGTATATATGCCATGTGTAGTGACATCCTTTCCCTTCCGCTTCGTCTCATTTGCACATAATACATCTATTCCTCTATCATACATCATATCGCCATCTTATCATTCATTGCTCACACATACATTCAGCGCAGCTAGACGGACCTCCGCAATCCTCTAGTTAGGTTTCTGATGTTGTTTGTATAAGAAATATTGTTTTTATGTAATATACATAGGAAATCTTCATATACATATTTTGTTTTTAATTTTTAAATATTTTTATTTTACAGAGACTAGAGCTTTATCTATGTATGCTTGTTTTAAATAATTTATTACTAAGAATGCATTTAAATGATGAGGATATTTAGTAATATTATGTATGTATAGTTGCCCAATAAAAACAACAGTCGAGTTTATTTATTTCTTTATTTAACAGATACACCATTGGTTTATCACTAGACATTGTTAAATATAACACAATTGGTTTTGTTCAAAATGATTCGCCTTTAAAGGTATATAGACAACATTGAATAAAACTAAATTTACGGATTTTATCGCGTTTATTTCATTACTTTTACTTATTTTTAATTCTCGACGTTTCCGTTAATTTAGTTTTATTCAATGTGTAGTTACATGTTACATCTTGAAGCGCGCTTCCATCAAAACATACTTCAAGCCGCTGAAGAAGATTGGTCAGTTTTTACCATCGGTCAAGTGTAATGTCCCTCTGAAAGATGCAGGAGTGTACAAGCTTGATTGTGAATGTGGTCTCTCCTACATAGGACAAACTAAAAGATCAA